TTGCGGTCGGATTTCCACACCTGAAAGCCTTATAAATATTATAAATCTAAACGGGTGTGGAAATCTGACCGTGCTGTACCTGCCACGCAAAATGGACGTGTTAATCCGATCCGCTGTAGACTGCAAGTGTCATGTTGGAACAAAGTAAGAAACGTAAACTTTAGGGTTCTTGAAGGGTGCTGTTTGTGTTTCTAAGAAGGTGCTGGAAATAACATAAGTTCCATAATTTTGATATCAACTCGCATGAAACATATTATACAACTTTGGTTATATGTTTATTTGTTCTTAACTTTATAACAGGACAACGTTAATGTCGAACCTGACAACATTTCTCATGATTAGTTGTAAACACAAGGCTAACACCTAGTAATAACGCAGGGTGCTGCTTGTGTTTTTAAGAAGGTGCTAGAAATAACATAAGCTCCATATTTTTGAGATCAACTCGCTTGAAACATATTATATAATTTTGATTATATGTTTATTTGTTCTTAACTTTATAACAGAACAACGTTAATGTCGAATATTTATCATGATTAGTTGTAAACACAAGGCTAATACCTAGTAATAACGCAGGGTGCTGTTTGTGTTTTTAAGAAGGTGCTGGAAATAACAGAAGTTCCATAATTTTACGATGCCTTCCATCGTGAGTCGGCCAGTGCATCGGTGGTCGACAAGAGGGTGAGCTTGGAGATTCGGGTGATGAAGGAGAGACTCCTTGAGTTGGGCGGCATCCTGAAGTGGATGAGGTCGAATCGGCAGATTGCCGATGGGCTCACAAAGGAATCAGCCCGCACTTTGATGGCATCACGACTTCGCCATCAGCAGCTGAAGCTCACGTGGGACCCTGAGTATGAGGTCATGAAGAAGAAGACCAAGACCGAGAAGGTGAAGGCTTTGTCTGAAACCACCACCTTGTCTGGAGAGGCTCCACCTTTCAAGGTTTGGCGTGAAAAGACCCAGGATGGTTGTGAGTTTGAGTCCGAAGAGGTCCCTGCCAATGATTTAGGTAACCAACAAGAGATTGTGAATTTTGTGTCCACCGACCGCTTTGTGTCCCATATATTCGCCACATGCCACGTCGTGCAATGCCACACGAACTACCAGGACAAGCGTCGGATGCAGAATGTCTTCTTTTGGATGATGTTGTTTTCATTTTTGCTGCATAGTTGCAAGGCCGAACCGGCCACTTGTGCGATGGAGGAGCCTCGGAATAACTTCTGGAATGATTTATTTTGGTTTTCAATTTTTGCCATGGCATGCATGTTTCCACTGTGCGTTGCCTTTTTCCTTGGCCGCTGCAGCCTGCATTCACCCCCAATGGTTCATACTTCAACCCAAAAGGATCAGCCGATCATTCCTAAGCGGCTGCGAGAAGAATTGAAGAAAGAGAAGGCCCTTAAAGCTGAGCATTTGGCTGCAGCGCGTGAAGCGCGGTCTGCGTTGAGCTCGAGCATGCAAAAGGTCAACGACCTCCGATATTTGGTTTAAGATGTTACACGCCTTTTCGACGATTGGAGACTTCGGTACCAATACATACAAGGCCATCCTCATGCCTACCCAATCTTCATCTCACAACACGGCGAGTGCTAGCATCTATAAAACTGTCATATGCTCGAACAGATCAGCGAAAAAGACCTCTTGCCGATACGCGAATGCGCTTCCTACGCCGATCGGCGCGGACCACTCGATTTTTATTTTCCATCCACCTTACGAGGTGCTAATTATGTTTCGTTAAGTAACGCTACAGGCTGCGTTTTGCACTAATATAATATTATCAATAATTCGTGCAATATTCGCGCTTCAACCGATCTATATTTTAAATTGCGCAAAACAAGCTCACATAAATGAAAACAAATTTTTCGCCAACAAATATTCGATCGTTCCTTCCGCATCCATACGATACATTTTTGTTTTTTTTCGTATTAATTCTATATCCCTTATTATAATTCATTTCGTGCGTTATCGTATATATACTAATATATATATATATTCTTTCAATTATATTTTCAATAATCAATAAATATATTATTAAAATCGATCGTTTATTTCATAATATATTAAATCTATATAATTTTTAAATATATATATATAAAATATTATAATTTAATATATTTCATAATTTTATCGATATATATATAATTTTCAATTCCATTTAAAATAAAGATATTAATTATAATTTTATTCGATTTAATTATTTGATTTGTTATCATATATTATTGATATATATATATATATATCAATTTTCAAAGGTTTTCTGAAATTAAATATCTGTTGGATGTGGCCACGAATACCATCTGCCTGAGTCTTGTTAATGCATCCGGATCCCCTTCCAACGCTTGCATGAGGTAGTCTGGCGCAAGCATATCTCGACCCAAATCGATGGCCGTCTTTTTACATGAATTCTACAGATCAAGTCGTGCACCGTTCACAATCAGTGTCATTGCTGCCTCATGCTGCTCAGCCAGGAGTGCACACATCAGCGGCGTGGAGTCATAGCTGTGGTAGGCCAATCTGCTGCCACTTGCTGCCTCACTTGATCAATGACTCAAGCGAGTGAGGGCCAATATTTGCTGCTTAAATTGTACCGGCCTAAATCACAGAGCCCTGAGTCCTCTGACTCTATCATGACATGTTCCATGTGCACCATGTTAATGTTCGTTGCTTTTGCATGCATGTCTTCACAATCTTTTCCAGCTTCTGGGCCTTCCTCTAGCTTCCGTTGTCTCGATCAAAAACACGCATGTCGGAAAACAACATCGGAGCAAGAGCGCACCAAGAGAAAACCACTGCAGAAGTAGAACAAAAGGACGGCGTGAGCGTGTTCGCAGCTGCCGCAGAAAGGGTATTGTTCCCACCGCCCCACAACATACCTTCACACAAATTGATTTCATTTATACTTCATTGTAGGAGCAAAGGGCATCGCTACTAGGAGCAAGGACGCTACCAGTAGCTCCCGGCCATACTACTAGGAACAAGAAGCTAGCGGTGTTTTCTCTATCCTCCCCAGCGGGCAGGAAGTCGCAAAGCATGAGTCAGGAATTCCTTCTCGGCATGTCTTTGCGGCCTGCAGACCTTCGGGTTTATGTTGCCTTTCCGAGTTTCCTGTCATCAACTTTGTGGAAACAAACAAATTAACACTCAAACCGAAGATTTCAATAGAAATCAATTTAGCTCGTAATTTAGCGACCCCTTATAGCAGAATCCAAAAGGTCTACAGTTGGCATTCCCCGTCTCAATATTTATGAAAACTTGTCCTTTGCCAGGCCGAGCTGCTTTCCCAAATCGGAACTTGCATGAATGAAATTGGAGAGCCACGCCGAAAAAGCTGAATGTAGGCTGTCTGAGCTGCTCATTCACATCGGCCTTTGCATCAACCAATTGTTGCACCATCTCAGCTGTTCCTCCCTGGAAGCACACTGCCATATGCAAGCATTTCGACAGATTCAAGTCTTCAACACCACTCATTCTCCTCTGGAACATTAGCTCAGACACCGCTTCTCTTGAATCACGAAGACATCCATGAATGATGGGAGGCAGGCCCATGGAAAGTTTATTGAGATCGGCCTTTGCCTCCAAAACCATGTGGATGGCTGCCTTGTTGTTGCTGTATGCAGCTGATGCCAAGGCTGCATACTTGCCACCGTCCACCTGGGCTCTTGCCCCAATCAAGACTTGAGCAGCCTCATTGTGATTGAATCCGCAAGCAAGAGAGAGCACCGATAATTTTCCCCACAAATCGAGACGAGGGTGGAACTTCCGTGTCTGATCACAGGGATCTGCCCGCTGCTGCAACAGGCTTCGAATCAGGAAAGGATCCCCATGGATAGCTGCATAGCAAAGGGGTGACCATCCTGCACTATCAACCTCATTGACACAATTGAAGCCATTCTGATCAAGGAACTCCTCTGCAAGTGACTCATACCCTGCGCCTGGCTTGGCCAATCCGCTCATTTCAGACATGGATGCTTGACACTCAATGGGAAAGCCTCTGAGAAGCACATTCATCAGATTCAGATGCATTCTGTAGCAGACCAAATCCCTTGACCTCAAGCAGGACCAGATGATGTTTTTCATGAAGGCCTTTAAGACAAAGCCAATCTTCCGCTTGTCTTCATTGAATCCAAACGTCCCATCGCCTGGGGTTCCCTGAATCACAGTTTTTGTTGCACCATAAATAACCTCAAGAGCTGTACTGCTCCGAACCTGAATCCAGCTGGGGTTCTTTGACAACTCACGAATGGTCTTCTCCGTGCGACCACCCACGGCTCCACCAGGTGGAGCTGCCAAAGAGCTCTGAGCCATCTGGGCTCTCAACCACTGGACACAGTGCGAAGAAGAACTCGCAACTGGCGATGTACGCAGGGATGCTGTCAATGGCCTTGTCAATGGGTTTCTGCAAAGATCCTAAGTCCCAAGAGTTGACGTCTATCTGCGGCAAAGAAAAGTAATCATACCAAAAATAGAGTGGGCTTGAATGAAAACAGTCCGTGGAGACAGCTGCACAGGGCGAAAACCACTGGCCTGGAATATTCTTCTCGATCACACTCATCTTGGACAGTATGTTTTTCACAGCCTCTTGCATGATCCGCATCTGCTTGAAGTCCGGATCCGGATGTTCCCCAGAAATCCATTGGTGTGAGATAAATGCTGCATTTCCCTTATTTGTTTCAAATTCCACCAGTACATCTTCCTCCATCAACCTTTCGTGTGGCCTCACTGCTTCCATCTTCATCAACTCCTCCAAGGAAACCGTGTACATCGGGAATTCCATTTGATAGTCTGGCGGTAATGAGTCCTCTTTGTGCAGCCTTTGAGAAAAGTTTCCCAGACGTGTTGAGGACGTGCCAGCAGTTGAGAAACATGGCATTGCCGGCATTGGAACCTTTGGTCTCCTTGCCAACTTCAAAATCGAAAGCGCCTGACAGCGTTTCTGCTTAGGTGAAACAAATGAAACAGTGCGCAGAACGTGTCTGTGCGACTTGGTCCACTTGCAGCAAGCCAATGGACCCTTTAAGCGGTCGGATCATGACCCCTCTATGATATCAAGTTCGATATGTTGGTTCCACTCAGCAAGCTATCCCAGCACTACGACACTACCACCAAACTTCCACATCGCATGATTTTATAGAAAGAAACAAGTATGTGTAGGTACAGTTTCGATTCGAACTTGTGATTCTGAGAAATTTGTGTCCAAAAAAACACAGCGTTAGTGGGGAGAAGGAGGCTTTGGAGGGCACAGGATGGAGAGACAGGAGATGGTGGCTTTGGTGGTGCCTAGGATTTTACAAGAGCTTGTTGATCTTGTTGCCGTATTTCCGTTATTTTTTCCATGGGTCCCGACCCCTTTGGGAAGGGTGGTGGTTATGGCCTAAAATACAAACAAACCTTGGGCAACACTCAAAAACTGGAATACCACCATCCTGGGTATAGCTGCCGGTAGCAGGGGGATCAGAGTGGATCGCAATGCGCGCGTTCCAAAGCGAGGCGGCGATCTTGCCAGCTGGCGTGTGCTCTGGTGGTGTAACCTGCACCTGTAGAGTTCACAAAGGGGTGGCGCTACAAGAAAATCTGCACGTGCGGTTGCCCGCGAAATCTTCACTTCAGCAAACTCGGCCAAGAGGATGAAGTGAGAGATGGGAAAGGCAGTTGTTCCCCAAACAGTGCGATCACACTAGGGGTTCTTAATTCTTACAGTAGTAGTTTCGGCCGGGGGTTGGTCGGAGGTGCTGTGGGAATTCTTCAAAGTGATTTCGACTTCGTAAATGAGGCCCATTGTGAACAAGCGCAGCATTTTGTGAACCTTGAAGTGCAGGTTTAGGGGCAGGTGCAGCACTTTGTGAACCTCGAGCCTTGAGCAAACTCACTGATATGGTGCGCTTTGAAATCCTGTCTTCCCTGCACAAGTTATATTTTAAAAAATATGGTGCCCTACACGTCATCCAACCTAGGCACCCTGATCTCAAAACATCTCAACGAGATTTTAGTAGATTCCTGCGCCCACACAAAAACAGCCCACACCGCCCTGTGTGCTGCGGGTAGTGTGTATATACACCAAATCGTTTGGTGGTGAGAGTGGGTTTGTCCTCCAAAATGATCCATGTCATGTCATCTGTTCCTAAATGATCGGTGCCGCCGGCAATGCTTTTGGCGAATGACAAGCGGCTGTGCATACTCGGACTATGTACAAGAGAATGTGTGTTCCAACACACTGCTGGGCATGTTGCCCATGAAACCGCTCTAAATACTCAAACACCAAAGGAGCCTAGGCATCAAACACTGCCACTGTAGATAGAAACCTCAGCGAGGAGCGCTGACTACAGTCGTGGCCATTGAATGTGGAACACAAACATGTTGCTTCTGCTTCCCGGCTTTACTCAAAATCCCTTTCCATGCATCCAAGAACCCCAAGAGAACGCCAAGTAAAATGAAAGCCTTTGCTACTCTCGGCATCTTGATCTTTGATTTTCCTTGGAGCCAGCACGAAGAATCCAAGCTACTCACAGGTTGTGAAATGAAGTTCCTCTGACCACAAGGGTCAGTCAAAAGATGTCAAAAGCATATAATATAGTCATATCTGGCCGGTGTTTGTCTGGATCTCGGCTCTCAAAGTGGAAACTCTCGCACAGTTCAAGCATTCAAGCTTCCAATGCCCATCTTCAGCATGATTGCACCTGCAAAGGTTGGACAACATCGCTGCTCTGAATCTACTTCTTCCGGGCCTGGAAGGACAAATGCCAAGCAAGCTCCAGAACAGGCCTTGACACAACTTGACACCCGCAGGACATCGAACTGCGCAAAGGCTGGACTCACATCAAAATGACACGCTGCGAAGCCGAGTTTCTCCACAAAGTGATACAACAAAAGACACATCTTCCAGCACTGCGCCCGCAGTAGCAAGGACTACCACCGATACCTGAGCTTTCATGTATATAGCACAAAACACTATTCTGAGATATTCTGAGCATGTTCCAACAGTGCTGATTGATGAAAAGATCACCAACAACAGGGCTAGCATTTGGGCAGTGGCCTCTAGCCTGCTCAGATCAATGCATCTAAAGATATTTGAAGATAAAAAACAGTGTTTGTGCTGCAATGTCTTTGCACATTTTTTTCTAGCTTGGTTGTGGCTGTGGCTGAATGTGGCTAGGCGGCTAGAGGGGAGCCTATGTGTTTTTCTGGTTTGAGCCAGAAAAAACACAGACCACATCAAAACGCTGCAGCAGTTTGTCATCCCGGCTTTGCACATTGATCCCGTGCTGATATGCATGGGAGAGCGTGCTTGCAAACTGTGTCCAAAAGTGTGATTGCGCCATCGCGCTGTTACGCTGTTTGGTGCTGGCCACTACGACCGTACGCCAGTCAATACCCTAAACCCTAAACCTAAACCCTTGGTGTATCGGTGCAAACGTGTTTATAGGGACACGCTTTGCAGGTGCGATGGCACATCATTGCGCAACAAATAGTACTCGTTGTTTGCCAAAAAAGCAGGGCCTGGCAAGCATTGTTTTGAAGTCTACCTGGTATACCTCTTGGAAATCCCTACGCTCATACTCACGGCATTTTCGCAACTTGTCTGCACCCTGCCCCTTCCTTGCCGTGAACTGTGCAGTACTAGATACTTTCTAAGGAGCATCTTGATACAACTAATACCTTGCAATCACCTGCGTATGTTATATGTTGCCCTTTTGCACAACCTTGTTGCCAAGCGCACAAACAAGGTCGTTAAAAGTTGCCCCATGTTAATATACCTCGCTACTAAACACGAACACGTGTTCGTTGGAAGGTGACTTCCCCGCCCAGTGGCAAAGGAGCCCAGAACAGCCTGCAGTCCAAGAAGCAACAGTAAAAGCGTGGCCATGTCCCCAATGCTCGCGATGGTCATCCTGCTCCGCTCCGAATAAGGTTGAAAATAAAACAAAACAAACAAACAGCAAATGGAGATTCGGAAGCCTACTTACTACTAGGTTGGGACAGCTCAGAATTTGACAAAAAGAAACAGCACCTAAACCTCGAATCTGGCCTGTCTCACGTCTGTGTCAATGTGTTTTACAATTCTGCAACTTGTGGCAAGCATCTGTGTGCTGGCCCAGAATTCGACAGAGCAATCGCCGCAGTGCATCTCTGTGTGCAAAGAAGACCAAAGGGAAGGAAGCAACAACGCAAAGCCTGAGCCAAGCGCCAAGGCTCAGAATACAATCATCAACCGTCAATAACCATCAATCAGTTGTCACGCCAAAATCTGGCAGCGAACAACTAACAGTACTTTTCTCGGAAAATCGAAGCTTCAAACACGTCCTCTCCAATGCAAAAGCAAGCAACCCCATACCAAACCTTGGGACTCAGAAGCTGACTCACACATCAGGGTTTGTAAGCGAAATTGGCTGACTCGACTGATGTATCCAAGGGTCCACATGAAAAGGACCTGAGCTATGCAAAAAAGGGCCGTCCACTACATCAAGAAGGACAACAACAGCTTGAAAGCGAGGTGCTTTGGTGTCCAAAGTGTAGCCAGTCAATGCATTCCCTGGCACTTCCGGCCCGAATCGAGCAAATCCAGCGAGGCCGAACCTTGGAGTTTACAGGGCACCAAAAACAATCTTCGTTTAAAATACTAATAGCCATGGCCTCCAAACCATGGCCTCCAAACTAATAGCCATGGCCTCCAACCTAATAGCATTGGCCTCCAAACTAATAGCCATGGCCTCCAACCTAATAGCATTGGCCTCCAAACCAATAGCCATGGCCTCCAACCTAATAGCATTGGCCTCCAACCTACGAGTAATGGCAATGGCCTCCAAACTATAGCCATGGCCTCCAACCTAATAGCATTGGCCGGCGGATGGCGCCTCACCTGCGCACACATAATTCGCCTCACCTACGCACACAGACTTTTTTATATATTTAACTCACCTGCGCACACACGATTCGCCTCAGCTGCGCACACATCGATTACATTCTTCTTTAAACAGCCCATGTTACCTCAAACTCACCTGCGCACACATGCTTCGCCTCAGCTGCGCACACACAAATTGAGTCATGATCTCTTTTTGCTCATTGCTTCCACAGTACCAAGCCGCGTGCACAGCCGAGTAAGCCGTGTGTACATCCGAGTAGCGCGTGTACAACCGAGGAAAAAAAATTCTGCGCGTGTACAGGCGAGGCAAATTCCGCGTGTACAGCCGAGGCTCCGCCCTCTAACCTAAGAGCAATGGCCTCCAACCTACGAGCAACGGCCTCCAACCTAACAGCAATGGCCTCCAACCTTAGAGCAATGGCCTCCAACCTAAGAACATTGGCCTCCAACCTAAGAACATTGGCCTCCAGCCGAATTGCAATGGCC